ACGTCGTGAGAATTTAATTGTTTTATATATTTTTTGATTATTTTATTGTTTCCCTTCTACGTGACTTTACCGAAAGAACCAAGAAAAAGAGTTCAGTTTTAGTTTAATCATCCGGAAGCTGGACCACTGGGGTTATGTCAAGGGGACGTGAAAAGGCAAACGCGCCTTGGGTGGAGCTCAACTCCGTTGAAGGTCCCCGAAACGGTGGTGTGAAATTCCACATTCTCTCCAGAGGACACGCCCCCCCCCCCCCCCGATCGGGGTTAAATAAATTATTTGGCGACGTTGCTACCGTTGGCAGGTGCTGCGTGAATGTAAATAACAAAAACAACTCAACACGATCGTCAACAGCCTTAAGATGATTTTTTCTCTTAGGTGACGTTTCGGGCAATAGGCCCTTGTTCATAGCACGTAAAAATCCTTCAAAGCAGATTGTAACTTGTATCTCTGAAGGGGCGCCATTGCTTAAGCATACAGCCGTTGTGTTGGAGAGCAAATCCACAACATTTACAATCTGAGTCCAACGTTTCGCCAGTAATTGATTGTAAATGTTGTAGATTTGTGCTGTACTAGTAACGAACTCGCATGTTCTGTTTACGTGACAAATCTTACTAATTGGCTGTGTTGGGTGGTTGAGGGTTTAACGATGCATTTATATTTACGCTATCTAACACAAAAAAACCTCTTATGGATGCAGCTGATTGCTTCGTTTCTTGCTCAAATGAGCATTGAGGCAGTGCTCATATTTCATTTTCAGGCAGTGTTATTGACGAATGTGAGCTTTTTTGTCGGGATTAGTCTAAGCATTAATTGATCTTTCATTTGAAAATCAAGTGGAGCGGTGGCACAGAAGCTCACGCATGGCACCATAACCCTGGCGACTTGAGTTCCATTCCCAGTTGGTGATCCATAAAGTATTTGGCCGTGATCTGAACCAAGTGACCTGTATCTCTGAACGTGATTAAGACGTAAAAATCAATATACCTTCAGGACATGCCGCCGTGGTGTAACGGTGAGCCCTCGTGACTTGCAATTCAGAGGTATCCAGTTCAATTTGATCTTCCGGCGTGGCAGTTGAAACAATGGTGGAAGTTTCTTCAATCCGCTCCAATACCGCTTCTGTCCACCCAGCGGTGTGAATGGTTTCACCGCAGTCGATCGGCAGGTCGCGTTCAGTGCGGTTGTGAGGACTCCCACATGTCCCAAGACTAACTCGTTGTTAATTATAATTTTTAATTTTACTAGGTAAGGCCCACTCAGCTATACAAGCTTTTTGTCAGAAGCGACCTGACCATCCCAAATGATGGCTCAACGAAGTGGCTTATCACGTGGAAATTTATAGCAGCTGAAAACTCGAAACGCACACGTCTAAATGTGGAGTGAAAAACCGGACGACCCGGTGAAAAATTCGCACGACCACGGGGAGAACATGCAAGCTCCAAATATACAGCAGCAGGCGTCAGGGTCGGGATCGAACCCACGACCTCCTTCATACCAGGCGAGGCAGTTAACATCTCGCCAGCGTGGAAGAGTAGGCCCAATGCTCTTGGAGGGGGGACTCAGCTCCCTCGCCCTCCCGCCAGCGGTAGCGTGAGGAATCAATCACAGGTCTGCATCTTTACTTCTAAAACAAACATATATATACAATTGTATATATATACACAATTGGTAACGGCGAACCTCTCCTTCTGTCGGGACTCTGACCTGGACGTGTGAGCGCTGCTTGTCCTGTGTGCCGGCGAGTGGGAGTGAGGTCACTGCGGTTTTGCCTGTGATTCCCTGCTGATGCCGCCCTCTCGCTATTTTAAAGAGAGGATGAAGTTGGTGGAGGGGATAAAGGGGAGGCGGTCAGGGCCCTGTGGGAGGGGTGGACACCCCAGGATTTAACGCTTCTCAGCGCCGCGAAGCCGAAACCGTTCTCCCCAAGCCCAAGGGCCAGGCCACCCTGAACGTGCACGATGTCGTCGGCTCGCCGAAGCGAGGCAGGGTTGAGCCTCGTTGGTACTTGGGTTGGAGATCAGAATCTTTATTTAGACTGGAGGAATCTGATGGGCTATGAAGCTCTCTGTATGTATCTATGTGTGTATGTAAGTGAACTTCTTTCGCACCGTACGTAGCCAATCGTACTAATCTGAGGTGTTGGGGAAGGACAACAAACTAAACACAAAAAGCAGTTCTAAAGAAATTAATTTAAATTTAGATTGAAAAGTGCATAGCTCCAGTGGCTTCCTAATATCGGAAGGAAGAGCGTTCCAGATGGCCGCAGAAGCGCATCTGAAAGCGCGCGATGCGGTGACCGTCTTAGTTCGATGGCTAGCCAAAAGTCACTGCGAGGATGACCGGAGTTCACGTGATGGCTTATGCTCCTTGACGAGATCAGCAAGGCATTGTGGTTCATTCGTGGCAAGCACTTTTTGTGTGTAATGAGTGCGACCTTATAATGTGTTCGTTGGGCAACCCGAAGCCAAAGCAGCTTGGCGAGCACTGGATGGACATGGTCAGATCTTGCAGTAAAATATCTTTCACATCTTTTTTCGCAGATGTCCAGTCGGGGCGAGATGGCCTTAGTGGATATCAGGCTGCGAGCTGGCCAGGAGATTAGAGTACACAAAAGGATTCATGAATATGGCGCAGAACTTGAGAAACGTTTGAGTGTCACCCTCACAAGTGAGGGTTTTCTCTGGGCATTCTGTTTCCTCGTTCATCGCAATGGCCAAACATCAACAATGCAGGGCCCTCCTGAAAATAAAGTCCTGAGACTTGGTCAAGTTTATTCCATCCTATGAAGTCGGAGACGGCAACACGTGGACACAGTGGGTGTGAGACATTAATCTGCTGGGCAGTGAGATGAGATGGTTCACGTGGCAGTACAGCAAGTAGATTGCTAAGAAGGCGTCTGTGTGAGTGAGTGGTCGAGTGTTCTCCCTTTGCATGCATGGGGCATAGCAGTTTTCTTCCACATTCAAAACGTCACAATTGGGAATTTGGCACAACATCCAAAGCACCACTCGCTCCCTTCAAGTCTTAAACAATATTGTTTAAGGTAATGAGTTTGTATAAATATATTTTTAAATATTTAAATAAGTTTAAATAAATGAGTGTATGCGTCTCAGGTGCTCTGAGGTTACACGAAGGACATCGGTTGTCCTATGGACACACTGGCCTCCACCATGGGAATGTGGAATTTACACCAATGGCTCGGTGTGAATAAGCACCACCACGGGGCTCGTTGGAGCGGGTAGACACGTTGACTCTTTGAAGTTGACTGCTTTGCAATGAGGCGTTTAAAGATGAGGAGTCTGTACACTCGCCCTGCCTACCGCTCCCCTCTCGTCTCGCTCTCCTTCACTCCGCGTGTTCTCTGCTCCAGCAACCAAGGCCTTGTGCCAAAACCCTCAACCACCCTCTGCTCAAAGGGAGGTCACTCATCCCTGCTGCTGGGCCCGTTGTCTGGAAGAATTCCCTCCCGTGGCCGCTATCGGTGCTGCCGGACGCCCTGCCCCTGCTCAAGTCCAGGCTGAGGGCCTTCTCCTCTGCCTGTGATTGACTGCCTCCTGTCTGTAATGTGATTGAAAATCCCACCTAAATTAAATATATAAATACCTCCCTTGCCTGCACCCACGTGGTACATAGGGTTACCACTTCTATGGTACATCAAACTGGGACGTACCGCAGAAAGATATCGCACAATTCTGGAATTGGAGACTGCATGTCAATACGTCGTCTTGAGTGCTGTATTTTCATGCAAGTGACAAAAACAACCGGGGCATTTGATGTCCAGTGGAAGATGTACATACTTCTCAGAACAATCCTGGGAAAACCAGTGGTACATACGTCTAGATTATTGTACAGTGCAATATGCAGTTGCATTGATCTGCTCTGTGAAATCAAAGGGAGTTGTAATTTGTGCATTTGGGTTCGATTCGCATTGCGGGTGCATGCAATTCCATGCAGATTCGCATTGCACGTGCATTGCAAGTGCATTGCAGATGCAGTGCAGGTGCATTGGAGGTGCATTGCAGGTGAATATTACTAAAGCCCCCCCCCTCCCCCCTTGACATTACTGTTACGCGTCATCTGTTCTCTTTAATTATATCATATTTCTAAAAAAACTAAAACAATAAGGCTCCGCGTGTCTCCAGCGGTAGCCCAGGTTACCTTTCACAGAGTGTGGCTCCGTTCGGTTTTTTGTTCGTTTCCAGGGAGGGGGGGGCGGGTTTGTGTTCACGGCGAAATGCTCCGCTCGTCGCACGACGCGCCGATTTGTTTTCCCCGAGTGATTTCACGGCCTAGCGGGCAGCGCGCTTTCCCTTGCCTGTGGGGGTGCGGAGGTCGGTGTGCTCGGGTACAACCTCGGGAGCGCACGAACAATGGCCGGCGGCTGTTATGCGCCGGTGTTCGTCGCCGTTAAGATTGGGATGTTTGCGTGCAACGTGCGCGGGAGACGCTGGATTTACTCGGCGGCTGGGTGCGATCGCGCCCCGAGAAGCTACGCAGCAACTGTGGGCGGATGTATTTTGTGGAAAAGAGGCAGTCGCTCGTCGGCAGAGGAGAAGAGGAGGCAGGGGGTCGATAGCACGCACGGCTGGCGGGGGGGGGGGTGACAGTTCCAGGCCACGGGGGCAGCACCGTAGAACGAGCGACGTTGCACGGACCTCCCGCCGAGGTCGTTCGCTCGGGTATTAACTCAGAACGGTTGAACCAAGGTGTTGGCGCGTCGGATTAGACGGAACAAACACGCGACCGGGCTGACGGACGCGGGCTGACGGACGCGGGCTGACGGACGCGGGCAAATCTGGCGGCCGTGAATGCGGATCACGTGCGGGGGAGGGTTAAGCCCGATGCCCCGGGAGGGAGGGCGGCGAGACCCCCGCGGCAGCTGCCTCGGCCACGGCAGCCACGGCACTCGCGACGGCGGCGTGCGTGCGTGCGTGCGTGCGTGCCGCGCTCGGTTCGATGAATAACTCGCCGCTGTGTTGTCCCATCGCCCCGGACAACAGCGCGGGGGCCGAGAGGGGAGGAGGAGGAGGAGGCGGAGGAGGAGAGCGTGGGCCGGTGTGCGCGCGGAGCGGAGAGGAGGGCGGGGAAGAGGAGGAGCGGCCGGAGCAGCGAGCGCTGAACGGCGGTGGCAGGTGAGAGAGGGGGGAGCGAGAGGGCCTTCTCCCGGGGCAGGGGGCTTCTCCGTGCTGCGGGCCCCCTTGTTTGTCTCTTGCGTGCGCGGCCCCATGCCGTCATTTCCCCCTGCGTTGCCGTAGAGAATCTCTGTCGCGTTGTGCGTAGATGCCGAGCTGCGGTTAGCGGTTGCTCTGTTGTCGTTTACTTTTCCCCCTTCGGCCCGGGTGTTTTTTTATCGTGTTGAGTGATAGCTTAGTGATCGCCCGCCTGTCGATGTCGTTCCCATAAAGCTGTGCTTTATTTAGCCTAGGTGTGATTGGTTATCTTTTCGATGGTTAGCATCGGTGTGTTATGTTTTTTTCAATTAAAAGTAATTTCACGGCGTTCATATATGTATATATAAAAAAAAAGTTTTACGGCTCGTGTAAGTTTGCAAATACGTTGCAGCGACAACTTGGCGAGTTGGTTCATAGCTTGAGAAACGACGGATTAAGCGCAGGAGGCAGACGCCGCTCAACAGAAACAGAATGCGGTGCGGAGCGAGTGACAATGAGTTGCAGGCCTAGCGGAGGGGGGGGGGGGGTGGTGTCAGTGGGGGGCCAGAGCGCTAAACGGAGAGAATGCAAATGATGCGGAGCAGTGTAAGGCGCCGAGACGGATAGCGACACAAAGGCCGAGCGACGAGGGGGAAAGGCTGCTCAGCGTCGCAGAGCGCGGCACGGAGAGATCGCGACCGCGACGAGAGTTTGACGCGTGGACGATCGGGGACACGGCGTGGGGTCGGAAAAGGAGAGAGGCAGAGGAAGGAGACTGCGGGCACCACTGACGAGCGGCCGAGTTAGGGGGATGTTCTCGGCCGCGGATGTGACCATGTCTTCTCCACGGCGGTTCGTGAAGTTGGGATCAAAGTGGCTCATCCCGGGAATGCTGCACTTTCAGGACTGGCTGTCACACTTCAGGTGAATGATCCCCCTTGACCTTCGCGATGCCGCCGCGACGCATGCCGCTGCAGCCTCTCTGTGCGCAGTTGTTCGCTAACCGCCGGATTTTATCGTGACTTTTGTTTAAACTTATGATTATCAAAATAATGATTTCGCCAAACAGTTCAAAGGTCATTGCCCTTATGCATTGTCATAAATTATTGATTCAGTGTGAGATTCTTTTTTTTATTTAACTTGCCCAGATTGCCACTGCCGCCTTGCTATTTGCTTTTCCCTGTATTGATCAGAAGCACAAGGGAGGTTGATTGGTCGACACGCGGTCGTGTTCAGCCAATCGTGAGCAAGAGTTATTGATGATCTTGTCGACTTTGTTCAGTCTGTTCTTGCGCGTGGCAATCTGTTCTGGAGCTAAATTCCAATGCCCGAGGTCTTGAGGCCACGACGAGAGGGCTTCGGGGGAGAGTTCCCGCAGTTGCTGCTCTTCCGTGACTTTGAGATGTTGGGGAAAATGTTTTCTCGGTCACATCGTGAGATTGTTGGCCACTGCAAATAACTGATTTGTTCTCAGGTCACGGGCTGCTAGTCCGGAGCTATGCAGTGTTGGGTGATTGGCTCTGAAAAGCACGTGGACTTCACGTAGACTCCACGCACACTCGCACACTCGCTCACTCGCTCATGCGCCCAGGACATTGCACTGGAGGATTAATCGGTAGGCAGGTTTGAGCCCAGTGAGACTAAGTCACCTTTTTTTTTTAAAGGGAGACCTGTGTTTGTATGTATGTGTGTTGAAGCTCCGTGGGACGCGTAGCTTATCTGTTGGTCACTGGAGTTTGAAAGAAGGGTAGATAGAGCCCTTTGAGGCAGAGAGGAGTCCCTCTTTCAAGGGAGATGAACTTGTAAGTGGGAATAAAACGGTGATCTACTGTGTTATTCTAAAGATAACGAGGATTATTTGGCATGTTATGAAACGAACAGCCCTAGCGCTTCTCTCCTTAGCCTGTGTTGGTTCCCAATTGGGCCTTTTCCGCGTAAAGGTTTCGCTGCATGAGTTACTGCACAAAAAGCAGTTATAAAGAAATGAGTGTTCATACTCTTTGGTTCTTTCGGTAAAGTCACTTTACCGAAAGCACCAAATGCATAGGTCGAGTGGCTTCCTAATATCGGAAGAGCGTTCCAGACGGCCGCGGAAGCGGACCCGAGAGCGCGCGACGCTGTGACCGTCTTTGTTCGATGGTGAGCCAAAAGCCGCTGCTGCGAGGATGACCGGTGTAGTTGTTTACAGGAGCGGTGGCGCAGTGGTTCACGCACAGCGCTGCGAAACCGGCGACCCGAGCTCAATTCCCGCTCAGTGGCAGCGAATATTTAAACCTGTACTAGGCCTTCTCGAGGCCGACTGCTATAAACGAGTAGCTAGTTTTGTTTGCGACTGTGTAACACCTCGTTTGTCAGTTATGCAATGTCTCTTAAGGACCCTGCTGTGCTCGTGCTCTGCAATGTTGATGTTTTTGTGTTTGTTTTGCTGTTGCTGTGCTCACGCAGCACCACGGATTTCCCGTGTACAAGAGCCCGTGCAACTGGTTAAACGGGAACCATCATCCGTTGTAACAAATCAAAATGAACTGAGCTCGCGTGTTTCGTAAACATCAGCACCGGGGAGACAAAGGTGGCCGGGCGTGGTGCTTGCCACCGTGCTGGGCTTCATAGGTGGTCGCTTAACAGCGCTTGCCCCAACCGTCTGCTGAACGCTATCCAGCCAATCTTTGTGTTTGTGCTGCATTTCATGTCATTCGAGGCTTAAGAATTTTAATTTCAAGCTTTTTAAGTAAAAGAAAACTGGTAAATGTTGAAGGTGGTCCGCGAGCTCAACGCACCGCGTTTACGAAAGCACTTTGAAAAGTCAGGTGACATTGCATCGTGATGAAGAGGTTGTTGATTACGGAACCGTGTGGCACTGCGCTGCCAACGCAGTTTGACGACAGAAATTCGTTGCGTTCGTTTTATACAACGAAGACCGTGGCGACGCCTACTTTCTCCAGCGCAGGTTTAGCGCGGGGCACACGTGGCGGCCAGCTTTGATCGATTCTCTTGCTCTCGTCACGAGGCCGAGTTCTGGTGGCGAGTGTGATGCACGCCAGGGAATCCCGTGGCCTCCACCGCTCGTGCCCTCGTGCCTGCTGCGGCCAGGCGCTGTGAGCGAACGCCGATTCCAGACCAGCGCATCCCAGTAAACGTTTTGTTGACGTTGGTCCAACGTTGTTGTTGTTGTTGTTGTTTTTTTGGCGAGCCATAAAACAAAGACGGCTATTGCATCACGCTTTGAGGTGCGCTTCTGTGGCCGTCTGGAACGCTCTTCCTTCCGATATTAGAAAGCCACTGGAGCTATGCGCTTTTAAATCATCATTTCGATTGAGAACTCGTTTCTCTAGAACAGCTTTTTGTGTTTCGTTTGTTGTCCTTCCCCCGCACCTCTGATGAGCACGGTTGGCTACGTACGGTGTGAAAGAAGTTGAAGGGTTGTTGTGATCGGCAGAATGCCTGGCCATCTTTGTCTTCCCCATTGGTTATAGTGACACGTACAGCCCTCTATGAATCCACTGCTGGATGAAGGCCTCCCCCACGCAGTGTCGTTTGTCGTGCGGGTTTGATCCTACTTCACCGCGCTGGTCAGTGCGGGTTGAAGGTGGGGAGCATAGAATTACAGTAAAGCCGTGGGTTTGGCTGAACTTCTCAAAACGTAGCAGTCTGAAACATGATAGTCGCCCATCCGAGCATTATCCAGACTATAATCTGCTTAGCATTCGAGATCTGATGCGGTCGGACGCATTCCGATATGCAGTTAATAATTATTTAAGGCTGAGTTGACCTGGAAAAGGCCCAGTACAGGTTCAAATGCCACTTGCCATTGATGCTCTCCGTGGCTGGAAGTCGTACTCTGGTTGCCGGGTTTGTAGTGGGATGTTGTTAATGCACAAACCTCTCTCCACAACTACACAAACACAACAAAGAACCCCCACATAGCCTCAACAGACTGTTGGGGCAAGTACTGTTAGCGAGCACCTATGAAGGCCGGAACGGCACACGAGGGGATGAGAAGCCAGCGCCACGCCCGGCCGCCTTTGTCTCCCCATTGCTGATGTTCACACACCGCACCAGGTACTCATTTGAGGCTGAGTCGACTTAGGGGAGGCCCAGGACTGGTTCAGATAATCGTCACCGATGTTGGCCGTGAGCGGCAATCGAATTGGGGTCTCTGAATCAGAATCTGTATTTATACTGGAGGAATCCGATGAGCTATAAAGCTCTTCTTTTTTTACAGATGTCCAGTTGGGACGGGTCAAAACGTTACAATAACATAAACACCGGGTAGGAGTGCTAAGTATCGGAAAGGTAAACAAATCACTGAAAATATATCAATAAAACTAAGCAATGTTTTATCTTAGCAGGTAAAACCCTGCTGAGCTTATTACCGTATTTGCCAGAAGTCACCTGGCCACAAATGATGATAGCTCAACAACGTTTGCTTCATCACGTGGAAATGTATAGCAGCAAATGAATCGCATGAATCTATACGCATGCTTCTGCTGGTTTCGTAAGCGCAGCATGCTAACCGCTTCACTACCGCTCAGACACACACACACACGTACAACCAAAACACACACAACAACAATGATAATTCTTTTTTTTTAAAAAAAAGGTCTCTCTTGACTATGCGTTCCAAACCCTGGGGGAGCAACTTCCTCGCTTTGTAACCCATTCGTCGGTTTGTGAGCACGCAACTCTCTGCCGAGACAAAATAACCTCGGTTGCCAATAGCCCCCCACGACCCTCTCAACCCCCCACGGAACCAGAACTAAAACGGGCCCACAATATAATTGTGTCGTTAAAGCCGCCACAGCCGGGAAGGTTTGTCGCATAAACAGAACGTGCCACTTCGTTACTAGTACAGCAACACCCGTGTGTTGGAGAGCAAAGCTTACAACATTTACAATCTGAACTCTTTGATTATTTCGGTAAAGTCAGGTAGGTATAAAATAAAATACGTGACTTGACCGAAAGATTCTAGATTTGAAGCTTTC